TGCAATTTCTATCAGCGTCACGAACACAAAGGCTCATATAACCAGTGTTATTGTGGAGTGGTATTATCAATTTTATATGCATAAGCACACCACTTTCGCTATTTCTGTTTTTTCTATATACATTCACAAATCATATGAAAATGTATTTACAGAAAGAAAGAATTTTTCCATTTTTAACTTTTTCCTGAGTATAAAGTAAACATCAAACTGTACAGTGTGTCGCAAATTATGAAAATCAATAGAACTTTGAATAGCCCCAAAAAAACAAAGCATTTCAATATTGACAGAACCTGCTTTTATTCTCTTTGTTACTGTTTGAAGGCGTTCATTGTACAAGTTTTAAACAAGATTCAATGAACTGTTTATATAGTCAAATCAGGAAATCATTTCATTCGTTTGAAGCTAAAATTCCATGCAATAATTGTTTGAAAAACTTTGAGAGCCGTGGTATTGACTTATCCATTTGTCAGTAATTTCGATATTCAAATCAGATTTTAAAAAAAAGCAAACATTTTTACGATGTTGACATTCTTGGAATCGATGCATTACATCCATATGTATTCATAGTGAGGTTAGATACATCATGTTTTAGCATGTTAAATAATAATTATCATAAACAAATCCACTTATTGTAACACATGTTAAATGAAAATGTTATTTATCAATTTATAGAAATTGTTGAAGCGATACGAAAGATGTGCTGTTTAACTATTGATGTAAGCGGTCTTTTCATCGCGTGAACATAGCGGAGGGTATTCTGATGTTCAGGGTACCTGTTATACCTGTAATACCATAGTAGTTTGGAATTGTAATTCATTGGTCAGAGATTATTTGAAAACGTGTGTCTTAGAACAAATCCACAAATACACATAGAGACAAGTTCAAAATTGTATCTGTAAAACGCGAAACATAAACAGGATAGATATAAGGTTTCTTGTGCACTTGTGAAAGATATCGAAGTTTGCACCCCAGCAGGTGAAATCTGTCTTCTATGGAAATAATATTGTTTTCATTGTAATTAACTGTTGATTAGCTAGCTTATGTTCATCATTCCTTAGTCCTTTGTTCATGCTGAAAGTCAGTGTGATTTTCCCCCTCCCGTGATTTCATCTACTGCAGGACCATGTTTCTGTCCCCAAATAACAAGCGTAGAAGTGACCTAGATATGTTTGATTCATCTCGTCATTGTAGATTCAGCAAAACTACTGTGAACCTCTATATTTTAAAGCTTATATAAATTAAGTGGGTTTTTTTGCACATAAACAAGTGTGCTAAAATTTAACTAACTCAGTTTCTGTTTATCCTCTACTGCGAATGTCAACATGCATGATTGCGTCAAATGACCAAAAAGCGATAATGCACTGAGATTGGATTGAACTTGATTAAGAAGGAGTACAACATTAAATATAAAATCCAACAACAATTTGTTTTATTATATAGGTGTGTTAACCTAGAAAATAATAAAATGATAATATATTTATATAACCAAAAAGTATACACAGCTGTGTCAAAATCGAAAATAGTAATGTAATGTTATATTTGAGTAACCATCACGTGTAACGGGAGCGTCCATTGAATTTGTACAAAATATATTTGTTTTTCTTTTATTTCTCGAAATCACTTAAGATTGCATCATTTTAGGACATATTCATTTTTAATGATATGAGTTATTTCTTCCAAGAAGATAAATAAAAACGTGCCTTACAATGTGCATGATTCTATGCAAAACTGTATATATGTGCTGTGTCGTGCCTTCCTCTAATGTGTATCGTTCTTGTTTGTTAGTCTCTAAGTGTATGTGTGTGAATTTGAAGTTACGACCTGACTGTGTGTGTTGATATTATGTACATATATTACCCGCTAGTAAGATGTATGTTGACAAATCTTTCAACTGTTGTATATCATATATGTAAAAAAAGGACAAAATGTAAGTCATTGAACAATTATATGAATTTATCAAGTAAGTGCACGTGTACTTGATATCTTATATTGTATACATTTGCTAACATGTACATTGTGTAATATTGTAAGGACATACACATCTAACATAAGATATATGTAAGCATGTGTATATATTGTGTGAATATTTTTGTTGTCCTAATTGCAGAGAGTGGCATAGTGTGGATATTTCAAACCAGTCTACACAACGCTTTGTTTCCCTTGCGATGAGATGTTAAGATTGCGTAAAAAAAGTCAACTTATGTCCCTAATCAGAAAAATGAAACGGCCTTCACCTTCAATCCTCTATGATGCGAATCTTCAATTCAAATAAGAATGCAGTGAACCCTATATGGAAGTATATAAATCGTAATATATTTCCTTTTATGTTCTGATTCACCAGACAGAGAATGTATTATGCTTTAACATATGAGAGTTTTCCCATGTAAGGGGAGACAAACGTTGTAGAATTCAAGCATAATGTAACAATTTTCTCCCCTGAGTCGTTGAGAGTAACACTGCTTCCTACGTCGCCTTTCATGAGAATGTTTTTTTTTAAAGTAAGATACTAGATATATACATTGTAGGGTTAAGCCTAACACATGTTTGTATTTCCTAACAGAAATATGCTGGTTAATTTATCTTTACTTGGTATAAACGCCGTTCATTATGTCCTCAGCACATGCTTATTTAAAACATTAGATATGGTTTTGTCCATTGTGTATATAAATTGTAAATATTGTATTGTATTATTACTTTTTCTGACATTTGGAATACGTCAACGAAAAAAAAACCGAGTGTCAAACGATATCTACATATTCATTCAGTCACGTGATACATATCAGTGATATTTAGATTAGAAAAAAAATATATACTCCTCAAAGAGAGTGTCTCCCCTTTGCCAAAGACAAATACTTATCTCGTTGCACACGAGATGAGATTTGGAACATGGCGGCGTCCATGATAAATACGCCTTCAACATTGTTAGAAGTACAGCGACTGCACATGTGTGATAATTAAAGCGCTAAACCAGCGTGATTATTAACCTTATACTCTCACAAACACGTTACGTATTATTATCGTCAAGTATTAGTAAACATATTCCATTCTTCATGACGTTCCTGACCGCCATTTTTAGTGTAGTGAAATAATTGTTGTGGTATAGTATTACTGCGGTCTTTCCATAATTTTCAGCTCACTGTAATAAATCATGTTAATAGTGATTAGTGTACGAGTTTTACATTGATTCCCGTCTGTTGAATATGTCTACATAATACTTATGATTATTAAGAAGATTGTAAAAAATACACGCAAATAAACAGTACAGTTTGATACAAATTTAGAGTAGCATACATAATAACTATACTATATTGATACAGTCTGGACTACAAAACAATAACATGACGTCATTTTGACACCATGTTGACCGACGTCACGTCAACGCTTTGTACTTTGCCTGAGATAACGCGTATTATAGATCTACGTTAATCATTTAGCTGATCATGATTTTCAAAAACCATTTTTTCAAATATATGAACATGAAAAAAAACTTTTTCAAATTAGAAACCAAATCATGTTTTAAATGATCTCCGAAATAAAGTCGGTAACGTTAATGATCTGTCATTCATATGGACAATAAATACAATCTGACCCACGTTCAATAGTAAAATATATCAAGTGGACACCGATTAAAAGGCACGGTTTATGAAAATGTTAAGTTACGTTTGCTTAAACTTTTCCCTACATTGGGATTCCTCAGAATGGAATAATCCAATTAGTAAATGCGCTTGCTAACGTTATGACGTTTTATTCAACCTGGCCACTGATAAGATCAAACTGAACTCGAGCTTCTACACAGACAGTTTCGTGTGAATTTAGGTCAGAATAGCCATGCTAATCCGATAACACTTTCGACATACCGGGGACGACAATATTTGAGTGATGTCACGGTAAGTGTTACGATATTTTCAACAGTAGACAGTTTATAGACAGTATTTACTATTATCGTAGTGGTGACTTTTCGGAGCCCGTCCAAGTTTGGAAGCCCAACGGCTGTGCCAATGAACCAAATCAAAGCAAAGTCGTAAAAAACAATATTCTATGTTGGACTGATAACGCGGCCCTAACTTTAACGCAATGACCGAAACAAACTATTGTCTTTAAGATAGGTATATAAGTCTTCTGTTTCATGGTCAAGTTTATCAACATCGATTTTTACTTTAAAACTCAAACTTACCTGTCAGCAAAGTCTCTTATACCTAGAAGTCAAGAAAATCTTATTTTGGTAAGCGGCACGTTAAGCACGTGTACCAAATTTCAAATTTTAAACATACTGCGGAAAAAAACGCTACTCCAGATATATTTGATTTACTTCATAAAATAGAATACAAATATTTCGATTTACATGTTTATAAAGATGCGATAATCCGTCCATTGTTGAGATACTTCTGTATACCTTGTTGAGGTTTCGTGATAAGGCGAGAAACACAGCTTATTTCTCTGCATCCAAGACGTGAAATCATCAATAGAAAAAAAAAAAAAAAGTTTTGATAGTTTTAGACCACTATTATTCATGTCATGTTAAACACAAATCAAATCAATCTGATTAACATGAAGATTTTAATTCTCGATCCGTTACTCTCTGCATGTGATCTGACATTTACAATCGAATCAAGGAAGTGAATGACCTGTTTTAATGATTGGTATAAACGGCTTTACCCATTATGTCATTTCGTCAAAATATATCGACGAATCCTTCAGCATATAAAGTCCCATCATATCAGTCCGATAGAAACGTTTTTCCTTTTTCTCACCCGGAATAACGGATACAGAATAACGATACAAATTTAAATCACTGTGATTATTATGGTGTAATAAAATTATTTGCTGCGGTTGAGATCGTAAAATGTGAAATGCAGAGGATTTTAACCGGAATTTTGACCTGATAGGATATCGAAGTGAGAATTATGATCAAAAGTTAAATCAATTTGATATCTTATCTCAGTATTTTCTCTTTTTTCAGCATCCTACCAAAGATTCTATATCCAGCTATAGCGGTTGTAATGGTGATATTCTATAACATGTTCTTTCGCCAATCATCACGTGACTTTCATTCTACACCTATACTAATTCATGAAAAGGAAAACAAATACCCGGAAATAATACGTGTTCATTATTTCAACAAGCCAAAAGGAGTGAATGGGTCTCGATTTAAATTTTGTAAACATAAATGTTACCTCACTCATTCCAAATCCTCCTATGAGACTAGCCATGCTGTTATATTCCATGGACCATCCCTAGCTTCACATTTGAGGTCACCACCAAAAAAGTACCTTGGTCAAATATGGATCCTTCACGGAAAAGAATCCCTCGTTAATTACGCTGGATCACTAAAAGCATGGAAAAACGTTTTCAACTGGACCATGACGCACCGTCGCGATTCTGATATCATCGCTTTGAACGGCGTATTTAAGACCAGATCACATGGTTTGCACTGTAGAAATAAAACTGGATTGTACCAGTTGAAGACAAAAAATATTGCTTGGTTTGCCTCCAATTGTCAGACCCACAGCGGGAGAGAATTTTATGTAGATCAACTTCGTTCACTCATGAATGTAGCTATTTATGGAAAATGTGGAAAAGAAAAATGTGCCAGATTTAGAGAGAAAACATGCATGGATATATTGAGAAAGAATTTCAAATTTTATCTTTCTTTTGAAAACTCGTTCTGCCTTGATTACATAACAGAGAAGAGTTTTAAAATATACCGTCATAACTCGTACGTCATCCCTGTGACACGAGGGCTACTGGAAAACCAATACACCATGTATTTGCCTCCAAAGTCCTATATAAACACAGCTGACTTTCCTTCGTTGAAAACATTAGTAGACAGTTTGCAAACAATAGCAGAAAACGAAACTATCTTCAATTCTTATTTTGAATGGGAAAAATATTACTCCTCTGAACTTTATACACCGCAAGATTTCTGCCAGTTGTGTGGACGTTTACACAACGAAGACAAGTATAGAAGACTTTATAAAGACATATCGGCCTGGCTGGGGAGAGAACCTTACTACAATGTTTGTAATAACAAATCCAAAGTGCTTTCTAAAAATACAGAATAAGTACAAATTTCATTAGTTAATTACCGTGTGATTAGTAGGATAAATATGTCGTAATTATGGAAATTATCTATATGTTGTCCCTGTCAAGGTTGTAACGTTATAGTCTAGTATCTGAAAACGACGATATCCCTCTAGCTTTAAAAAAGCATGTGTTCTATTTATTTGAAAACTTCAAATGTACAGAAAATACAATTTTTAGAGTTCCTTCTTTTCAGTTTGGAACCAGTATGGCTTAGCTTCACATATGTCCTGTTTGTACATATTTTCTTTACGGAATATTCGTATTCTCCATATAAATATTGCAATGCACAGACGAGGTGACTCCTATCTATGTAAATCCATGTATGATTTTATAGAAAAATAGCAGAAAGTCAAATGACACATACTCTCACTATTTCCAGAATTGCAAATGGATGTTAAGAGACTTCATGTAATCTAGCACAGTTTATGTAAAAACTATTCTTGTTAATCTTTTAAAAGCTTAAATAGTCTAAAACAAAAACAAAAAAAAAAAAAAAAAGGGGGGGGGGGATTGCATCGAATCCTATATGCTTTTTAAGATTGTTCCTCTGGCCTACGGGAGATAACTCGTTTAGAACACAGTATTGCGACGTTTTCTGTGTCATCAGCTTTAATTTTGTTCATAGATACGCGCAATATATGGGGCGGATTCTATATAGAACATGGAAGCGAAAATCATTGTCACTTTCACCTATGCTAATGCTACTTGTACATTTGAAATAGTTGAGTGATTGGTTACTGTATTCTAGTTTTGATGTCCTGTATGTTTAGATATTGAAGCTTTTTTACAAGTTAAAAAAACAATTCTATACTCAACAAAAAAGAAACGCACGAAGTTCCCCCTGCAGTACACCTTAGCTGTCAGGAAATCCTGAAATATTTGGTAAAATATTACATCAAGAATGATCTCCCTTCTCGACAATCTGCCTTAAAATCAGCCAAGCGTGACGATGTCATTGTCTGACTTTGTGAGCTTCTTTATTCCAAACCACCTGGCGTTATCAGGTCAAGTCGTATTATTTTCGAACGAATACTTTTAACGGATACACTAAATTCAGCCACATTAATTTTCTACATTGGCATTTAGATTTCGCCACTGACCGAGACGCCACGCTTCAGAGAGGTAGAGCAATTGCGATGTTGATGGACGGTTATTGCCAAACTGATGTTGCACGGCAGTTTGGCGTTGCTCAGTGTGCAATCGACCGTCTCTATACACCTTTCCATCGTACTAGTGATTCGATTGTCGCACTTGCGCATTGAAGACTGTTGTAGAGAATGCGTCGCATACCTTAGGTACTCATGGCAGACCCATTAATGGTCAAACTGCTAGGAACCGCTTGCGTGCCGAGATAATTATTGCTTGTCGACCTTATCTTGGGCCACCTCTGACACTACAGAGGCGGCAAGTACGTCTTGGCTGGATGCGCAGACATGTCCCGAATTTGTTTTGGATGCGTCGGTGGAGACGTGTGATGTTCACCAACGAGTCTACTTTTTGTCTATATCGCTCAGACGGAAGAAAAGGGATATATCGCAGACTCGGTGAGCGCTTCACCGACGCATGTGTGGTTTAACGCGATACATCGTCGGGGCGTCTGTAATGGTTTGAGGAGGCATCTATGATGGAGCAAAATTCCCTTTAGTGGTCCGTCCTGGATCCAAACCTCAATGACGTTCGATTCAGAGACCATATCCTCCAACCACATGTCCTTTCACTTCTCAGACGTCATAACATAATTTTCCAGCAAGACAATGCTCGACTGCATGTTGCCAGAGTCTGTCGTGAATTTCTCACGGAAAACAACGTCCAGCCTTTGGAATGGCCCTTATATAGCCCCGACATGTCTCCTATTTAGCATTTCTGGGATGAGCTGGACAGGCGTATTAGGAAACATCAAATCCCCCGAACTAACCACGCCCAGTTGATCACAGTATTAACACAAAAATGGAACAATATAAGGTGTTCCTATCACCTACCCAAACCACCAATTTATGCATGATTTGTGCAAACGTCCGAATCAAACCAGATGATCTCATTAACACATATCTGCATTCATTCTCATATTATTGAACAACATATAGTTTTCTCTTTCATGTGTTTGTCTCGTTATGTTCTTGATTTTGACTTGATTAGTATGGCGTTTCCTTAATACCGATGAAGGTTCTCTTTTCTGTTCGTAACCTTGAAGAAGTCCCCAAATCCCCATTGAAGGCTGATTGTCTGTAAAGACCGGTCACCCGATCACCTGTATATTATAAACGGGTTGTGATTTTATACTTAAAACCAAGGTTATGGCACTTCAGTGTAATGATACCTAAGTTCTTTGCCCTTGAGAGATCGAATCATCCATCTTCACATAATACCTGAGCTTTGCCATACATCCAGATATCGGGTAAGACATTCAAAGTTAAACAAATCGTCACTAGTTTTTAATCAATATAATCACAACCATTAGTTACCAAAAAAAAAAAAAAAAAAAAAAAAAAAATGTTTTTCACCTCTTTTGAATATATCTTAAATCATAGTTGTTTCATCGTATAGAAATATTGAAATTCATCTTGTCTTTCGCGAAAAACTTCTTTTTATATTTGAAATATTGAATATGCCCCCAATGTGCAATATACAGAAGAGTAAAGAAAAATATCTGTGTTTTTTTTCCATTCAATTTTTAATATCTGTACCGTTTCAACAAAATAACGTAAACTTTTTTTTTACTTTTGATAGGATAAGGCAACGATACTAACATACAACAAAATCTACAACAAACAGCAACATACCAAACAATAGAGCTTGTGACAGGCACAGATCTGTGTGTGAAACACATTCACAAATCCTTTCTGTGATGAAAACAAAACGGGTCTCACAATACAACGGGTCAATATTTGTGTAAATGAATTAGAAAATATGTCTAGATGATCGTCTTATTCCGTATTTTTGTTTAATCAGCTGTGGCAATGGGGTTTACATTTAAAAAGTCTGTCTTTGTTCATGACAGAGATTACATTTAAGAGAAAAATATTCATCGTGGGCATGAAACTAATTATATGTATTGTACAACCCCCCCCCCCCCCTAAAATAATAATAAAAAATAAAAGAGAAAAAGACAAAGATAATAACCTACATTGTACTATAACATAACCGGAATGAGATAGGTCTTTATTTGTAAGTTTGTTGTTTTGTTTATGAAATTAATTGAATCTGGAAAAAATAACCTAATTAAAATGAAAATATGTTCCTTGTTAAAATAAGGAATAAAATCCTTATATAGAGGATGAACGTATGGATATTCAGTCGCCTCTGCGCTTATAACTTTTAAAATGGCTATCATAAAGATTTCCAGGGAAACATCATTTTTTTAGAAGAACATTGCAGATTTCGATACGACTGGCTACACACAACAGACTGTAAACCAAGCTGATTTGGTCCATTGGACTAGGTAAGAAAACAAAATACTTCATCAGAACAAAAACTTTCTTCATCAAAGTGACCTTTAAAATAGGTAAACTAGATGGCATTTGATAATTACATCACAGGTATGTACATTTTATGATCCAGAACGAACTTATAAAAGTAACTTTTTTCACCCTTGCCAAAGGGTACGTGACCAGATGACGTCATCTCCTTTCTGTTTTTTATACTCCCTCACCAATCGATTCACTAGTTTACTGGTCTACTATAAATAACATTTCTCAACGTGGAGATATTTCCACGTTTTCTCGGGGGAAAATGAAAAGAGAAAAATCAGAAAAAATGTATAGTAACGGGGCCTGCCCGTGTGTAGCGTGTATCGTAATACTGTATACATATTTCGGGGCCAGCCCCTTCTCTTCTTATCATATCCTCAATCAGCTCATCTTAAGAAAACAAGGTCTTCAGAATTTAGTTTGACATAAACTTGTTTACGTTCAGAACCGTTCGATAACCGCACAACGCATGTAAGACCAGCAGACCAATATTTGGTTACGTGGTGATTAGGTCACATTCACCATCCATGTTGACAGACTGCATGTGTGCACTGCGCATGATCGTTTTGCTGTAGTCAACAAGATGTTTGTGAGACTTTATAAACACCAATCTTTCCCTGGGGTCACTTTTCCAGCAGCCGAGCATGACATGGTATACTGTGGAAGGACACTCCTCTGGTCTCTGTAGTAGTATTCCTTCGTCGAGAAATCGCACCACCTGTGTAACAAAATAGAACAGCTGAAAACAATTCCAAAATAGATAGAATAGAATATTGTAATCAGTATCCTCGTTAAACTTGTAAAACACGAAAAAATATTCCTACAGGATTACTGATATATTTCAGTTCTATATATATCATTTATTGTCCCGTAAGTCAACATTCACAGCATCCCGAACAGCTACAAGGAAGATTGGAAAGAGTTTTGATGCGTTTTGGTCATCAAATTAAGAGGCAAATTATCAAGTCAATTTAAAAAGTGACCGCAGGAACCAGTGGAAATCGAAACACAATCATCAATTTGGTATATTGTAGAGGAATAATCATTCCTTTACCTTGCTTAATTGCAGGTAATCATTTTTCTAAATAAACAGCAATTTCTTTCCGATATGAACCTCAATTTACCGTAAAATCATGATTTTTCGTGGGTTTTATTTTCTTTGATTTCGCGAGTACCCTTTATCAACGAATTTATATATATTCGTGACCTGTTAAAATCATAATAAGTGGGCTTAATGTGCTATATCTATTAACGAAATCAAATGTCAACGAAATAGTATAACTTTGAAAAACCATGAAAATTGAGCACAAGAAAATCTCTGATTTTACTATATATGTCCCTGCTATGTTCTAAAGTTTTCTCAATGTACCCCATTTTAGATCTATAGGCTGTAAAGTTCACAAACCTCTTCGTTCGAATGTCCATAATATGGCTGTCGACCATAGCTAAATATCTCCCATAATACCACACCAAACGCCCAGATATCTGACTCAGTTGTGAAACGGCCATATTTGACGCTTTCCGGTGACATCCATCTGACTGGCAACATCCGGGAACCACCAATCTAGAACCATACAAAAGTATCTATTAATACTAAACATGAAGTCAGCTTTTTAAACGTCATACAATAGATAATGCATGTAGATTTACATGTTGCTGTATGTTCTGTTGTGTTTGTATATCACTGGGGTGTGTGATCTGTTGTGTTTGTATATCATATAGATATGATGTAGATTTACAGGTATGTGTTCTGTTGTGTTTGTATATCATATAGATATGATGTAGATTTACTGGGGTGTTTGATCTGTTGTGTTTGTATATCATATAGATATGATGTAGATTTACAGGGGTGTGTGATCTGTTGTGTTTGTATATCATATAGATATGATGTAGATTTACAGGGGTGTGTGCTCAGCTGTGTTTGTTTATCATATAGATATGATGTAGATTTACAGGTGTGTGTGATCTGTTGTGTTTGTTTATCATATAGATATGATGTAGATTTACTGGGGTGTGTGTTCTGTTGTGTTTGTATATCATATAGATATGATGTAGATTTACAGGGGTGTGTGATCTGTTGTGTTTGTATATCATATAGATATGATGTAGATTTACAGGGGTGTGTGGTCTGTTGTGTTTGTATATCATATATATATGATGTAAATTTACAGGAGTACGTGTTCTGTTGTGTTTGTATATCATATAGATATGATGTAGATTTAGTGGGGTGTGTTATGTTGTGTTTGTATATCACATAGATATGATGTAGATTTACAGAGAGGTGTGTTCTGTTGTGTTTGTATATCGTATAGATGTGATGTAGATTTACCGGGGTGTGTGATCTATTGTGTTTGTATATCATATAGATATGATGTAGATTTAGTGGGGTGTGTTATGTTGTGTTTGTATATCACATAGATATGATGTAGATTTACAGGGGTGTGTGTTCTGTTGTGTTTGTATATCATATAGATATGATGTAGATTTACTGGGGTGTGTGGTCTGTTGTGTTTGTATATCATATAGATATGATGTAGATTTACAGGGGTGTGTGATCTGTTGTGTTTGTATATCATATAGATATGATGTAGATTTACAGGGGTGTGTGTTCTGTTGTGTTTGTATATCATATAGATATGATGTAGATTTACTGGGGTGTGTGGTCTGTTGGGTTTGTATTTCATATAGATATGATGTAGATTTACAGGTGTGTGTGATCTGTTGTGTTTGTATATCATATAGATATGATGTAGATTTACTGGGGTGTGTGTTCTGTTGTGTTTGTATATCATATAGATATGATGTAGATTTACTGGGGTGTGTGTTCATATATAGGTGTGTGTTCTGTTGTGTTTGTATATCATATAGATATGATGTAGATTTACAGGGGTGTGTGATCTGTTGTGTTTGTATATCATGTAGAAATGATGTAAATTTACAGGGCTACGTGGTCTGTTGTGTTTGTATATCATATATTTATGATGTAGATTTACAGGGGTGTGTGTTCTGTTGTGTTTGTATATCATATAGATATGATGTAGATTTACAGGGGTGTGTGGTCTGTTGTGTTTGTATATCATATAGATATGATGTAGATTTACAGGGGTGTGTGGTCTGTTGTGTTTGTATATCATATAGATATGATGTAGATTTACAGGGGTGTGTGATCTGTTGTGTTTGTATATCATATAGATATGATGTAGATTTACAGGGGTGTGTGATCTGTTGTGTTTGTATATCATATAGATATGATGTAGATTTACAGGGGTGTGTGATCTGTTGTGTTTGTATATCATATAGATATGATGTAGATTTACAGGGGTGTGTGATCTGTTGTGTTTGTATATCATATAGATATGATGTAGATTTACTGGGGTGTGTGATCTGTTGTGTTTGTATATCATATAGATATGATGTAGATTTACAGGGGTGTGTGATCTGTTGTGTTTGTATATCATATAGATATGATGTAGATTTACTGGGGTGTGTGATCTGTTGTGTTTGTATATCATATATGTATAATGTAGATTTACTCGTGTGTGTGTGATTTGTTGTGTTTGTATATCATATAGATATGATGTAGATTTACTGGGGTGTGTGTTCTGTTGTGTTTGTATATCATATAGATATGATGTAGATTTAGACAGGTGTGTGTGATCAGTTGTGATTTGTATATCATATAGATATGATGTAGATTTACAGGGGTGTGTGATCTGTTGTGTTTGTATATCATATAGATATGATGTAGATTTACAGGGGTGTGTGTTCTGTTGTGTTTGTATATCATATAGATATGATGTAGATTTACTGGGGTGTGTGTTCTGTTGTGTTTGTATATCATATAGATATGATGTAGATTTACAGGGGTGTGTGATCTGTTGTGTTTGTATATCATATAGATATGATGTAGATTTACAGGGGTGTGTGATCTGTTGTGTTTGTATATCATATAGATATGATGTAGATTTACAGGGGTGTGTGATCTGTTGTGTTTGTATATCATATAGATATGATGTAGATTTACAGGGGTGTGTGATCTGTTGTGTTTGTATATCATATAGATATGATGTAGATTTACTGGGGTGTGTGTTCTGTTGTGTTTGTATATCATATAGATATGATGTAGATTTACAGGTGTGTGTGATCTGTTGTGTTTGTATATCATGTAGATATGATGTAGATTTACTGGGGTGTGTGTTCTGTTGTGTTTGTATATCATATAGATATGATGTAGATTTACTGGGGTGTGTGTTCTGTTGTGTTTGTATATCATATAGATATGATGTAGATTTAGAAAGGGGTGTGTTCTGTTGTGTTTGTATATCATATAGATATGATGTAGATTTACTGGGGTGTGTGTTCTGTTGTGTTTGTATATCATATAGATATGATGTAGATTTACAGGGGTGTGTGGTCTGTTGTGTTTGTATATCATATAGATATGATGTAGATTTACAGGGGTGTGTGTTCTGTTGTGTTTGTATATCATATAGATATGATGTAGATTTACAGGGGTCTGTGGTCTGTTGTGTTTGTATATCATATAGATATGATGTAGATTTACAGGGGTGTGTGATCTGTTGTGTTTGTATATCATATAGATATGATGTAGATTTACTGGGGTGTGTGTTCTGTTGTGTTTGTATATCATATAGATATGATGTAGATTTACAGGGGTGTGTGATCTGTTGTGTTTGTATATCATAAAGATATCATGTCGATTGACTTTGGTGTGCGATCTGTTGTGTTTGTATATCATATAGATATGATGTAGATTTACAGGGGTGTGTGATCTGTTGTGTTTGTATATCATATAGATATGATGTAGATTTACAGGTGTGTGTTCTGTTGTGTTTGTATATCATATAGATATGATGTAGATTTACTGGGGTGTGTGATCTGTTGTGTTTGTATATCATATAGATATGATGTAGATTTACAGGGGTGTGTGTTCTGTTGTGTTTGTATATCATATATATATGATGTAGATTTACAGGGGTGTGTGATCTGTTGTGTTTGTATATCATATAGATATGATGTAGATTTAAAGGAGTACGTGTTCTGTTAGGTTTTGTATATCATAAAGATATGATGTAGATTTAATGGGTGTGTGTGATCTGTTGTGTTTGTTTATCATATAGATATGATGTAGATTTACAGGGGTGTGTGATCTGTTGTGTTTGTATATCATATAGATATGATGTAGATTTACTGGGGTGTGTGTTCTGTTGTGTTTGTATATCATATAGATATGATGTAGATTTACTGGGGTGTGTGATCTGTTGTGTTTGTATATCATATAGATATGATGTAGATTTACAGGGGTGTGTGTTCTGTTGTGTTTGTATATCATATAGATATGATGTAGATTTACTGGGGTGTGTGTTCTGTTGTGTTTGTATATCATATAGATATGATGTAGATTTACAGGGGTGTGTGATCTGTTGTGTTTGTATATCATATAGATATGATGTAGATTTACTGGGGTGTGTGATCTGTTGTGTTTGTATATCATATAGATATGATGTAGATTTACAGGGGTGTGTGTTCTGTTGTGTTTGTATATCATATAGATATGATGTAGATTTACAGGGGTGTGTGATCTGTTGTGTTTGTATATCATATAGATATGATGTAGATTTACAGGGGTGTGTGTTCTGTTGTGTTTGTATATCATATAGATATGATGTAGATTTACAGGGGTGTGTGTTCTGTTGTGTTTGTATATCATATAGATATGATGTAGATTTACAGGGGTGTGTGTTCTGTTGTGTTTGTATATCATATAGATATGATGTAGATTTACTGGGGTGTGTGATCTGTTGTGTTTGTATATCATATAGATATGATGTAGATTTACAGGGGTGTGTGTTCTGTTGTGTTTGTATATCATATAGATATGATGTAGATTTACAGGAGTGTGTGATCTGTTGTGTTTGTATATCATATATGTATAATGTAGATTTACTGGGATGTGTGATCTGTTGTGTTTGTATATCATATAGAAATGATGTAAATTTACTAGGGTGTGTGTTCTGTTGTGTTTGTATATCATATAGATATGATGTAGATTTACTGGGGTGTGTGTTCTGTTGTGTTTGTATATCATATAGATATGATGTAGATTTACTGGGGTGTGTGTTCTGTTGTGTTTGTATATCATATAGATATGATGTAGATTTACAGGGGTGTGTGATCTGTTGTGTTTGTATATCATATAGATATGATGTAGATTTACAGGGGTGTGTGATCTGTTGTGTTTGTATATCATATAGATATGATGTAGATTTACAGGGGTGTGTGTTCTGTTGTGTTTGTATATCATATAGATATGATGTAGATTTACTGGGGTGTGTGATCTGTTGTGTTTGTATATCATATAGATATGATGTAGATTTACAGGGGTGTGTGTTCTGTTGTGTTTGTATATCATATAGATATGATGTAGATTTACAGGGGTGTGTGATCTGTTGTGTTTGTATATCATATAGATATGATGTAGATTTACAGGGGTGTGTGATCTGTTGTGTTTGTATATCATATAGATATGATGTAGATTTACTG